TTAGATTTTTACAAATTGTGAGTTTTGGGTTCGTTGAAGGACTATTAAACCTACAATTTAAAAATATTTTTGCAAGATACAGAGTGTCCCAATTAAGTAAAAAATATTATAGCTGTATTTTTTTAAAATGGAACACCCTGTATATTATTCTATTTTCAGATTCTACGATTAAAATAAAGGTAAATTTGATTAAGGTTGATCACACTTAAGCCTTACCGTTTTTGAAGTATTTTCAATTTTATGGAATTGCAGTAAAAATTTTAAGGATTCATTTCTCCAAGAGTAGCAAAGTTTTTAATTCTAAATATTTACTGAAGATTATTTATTAATCAGATATTGTGTTGTAATAATAAAAATTTTACTACCTTATACAGAGTGTCCAAATATTTATATTAAATAATTACTAGCTTTAAACGGCAATAACTTGATTAATTTAAATGGAACACCCTGTATATTTTGCGTAAATCAGATGCACAATTTAATTGTATTATACCGTTTTTTACATATCTTTTCAAGTTTTCGTAGAAAATGCATTTTCTTATAATTTAGACCTCATTTATCACTATATATTATTGCAACGCAGTATCCGATCAATAAATAATCTTTAGTAAATATTTAGTTTTAAAAACTTTGATACCCTTGGAGAAATGAAGCCTTAAAATTTTTACTTCAATTTCATAAAATTGAAAATATTTCAAAAACGGTAAAGTTTAAGTGTGATAAACCTTAATCAAATTTACCTTTATTTCAATCGTAGAATCTATAAATAAAATAATATACAGGGTGTTCTATTTAAAAAAATACAACTATAATATTTTTTTAAATGGGGAATTTAAAAACGGGGAATTTAAATTTCCCGCTGGGGAATCAGGTGGTAGTTCTGCTGTAAAAAACGTCAAGTTGCCGCATTTACTTATTTATTTCCTGACGTTGTCATTCGTTTTGACACTTTAGTTTTGTATAATGTTCCTCGCATTAATGCGCCACCGTGTATATCTTTATACACTTTTTTCTATAAAAAAAGTATACAAATATTTTTTCAAATAGTAAAACCAAGAAATAACAATCACTTTAAGTGTCCAATTTCCTATTTCCATAAATGATCTTTTAAGGGAGTGAGTATATAAATATTTACAATTTATTATTAATACATAACAATCAATTGCTTTTTGTTTTGATGTAATCCAGTAGCAATCGACTAGGTATTGGTATTTAATAATAATAGTATTCCCATTATAATAATGGCTTTATATTAGAAGAACCTTTGTGGCAATATGCTTTATAACAAATAATTTATTAGATAATTTAGTGTTTTAGCATCAGAAAGTGAATTAATATGATTAAAAATTATTAGTTTTAACACATAATTAAATTAAATATAATAATATATAACAATAAAAAAGATAGAAATGATAATCTATTTTTAAATTATTTTTGTCTCATATTATTTGAAGAATAGTTAATTAAAGGTAAGATACCTACTGTTTTAACTATATTGTATAAAATACCAACTACCTTTGCCTCATTATATTAAAATAAAATTATTATTGTGGTTAAAAATTTTGTAATAAAAGAATTTTAACTTCTATGGTTTGTTTATTTTGATTTCGGATTGTACTAAAAATTGTTAATATCTTAGTTCAAAGGTTGCATATCTTAAAAGTACATATAATTTTATACACTTCCTGCAAATTTCAATTATTTCAGAATTTTACTAATACTTTTTTCAACGATAGAAAACCCCGTACTGTTTTTTCAGTTTTAAGACAAAATTAGCGGAACTACAGCTGTCTCTCCCGGGCACTCCCTCAACACTATTAACATTTCAGCTCAGACTAGGACATATTCTGATAGAATATAAAATGTTGCATACGACAAGTATAGTTTTGATTCATTTAGAATTTTTTTAATATTTTTTTCAACGATGCAAGTGCTGGACCGGTTTTTTTCAGTTTTAAGACAAAATAAACGGAACCACCGCTGTCTCTCCCGGGCTCTCCCACAAAACTATTAATATTTCAGCTCAAACTAAGACATATTCTGATAGAATATAAAATTCTGCATACGAGAAGTATAGTTTTGATTCCTTTAGAATTTTATTAATATTTTTTTCAACGATGCAAATGCTGGATCTGTTTTTTCAGCTTTAAGACAAAATAAGCTGAACTACCGTTGTCTCTTCCGGGCTCTCCCTCAACACTATTAATATTTCAGCTCAAGCTAAGACATATTCTGATAGAATATAAAATTCTGCACACGACAAGTGTAGTTTCGATTCTTTTAGAATTTTATTAATACTTTTTTCAACGATACAAATACTGGACCTGTTTTTTCAGCTTTAAGACAAAATAGGCGGAACTAACGTTGTCTCTCCCGGGCTCTCCCTCAATACTATTAACATTTCACCTCAGACTAAGGCATATTCTGATAGAATATAAAATTCTGCATACGACAAGTATAGTTTTGATTCCTTCAGAATTTTATTAATATTTTTTTCAACGATACAAATACTGCTCCTGTTTTTTCAGTTTTAAAACAAAATAAGCGGAACTACCCGTGTCTCTCCCGGGCTCTCCATCAACACTATTGATATATCAGCTCAAACTAAAACATATTCTGATAAAATATAAAATTCTGCATACGACAAGTATAGTTTGGAATCTATTATACTTTTATTTAACTGAATATATAACATATACCTATTTCTTCTTTGTACTCTGTACCTGTTGAATAAAAATAACTTTGTTTTTATCTAAAAAACTTAAGACACAGTAAAAAAGACACAAAATCACAAATTTCTAAGTAGATAAGAGATATTAATACCTATTAGGTTTTAAAAATAAACTCCAGCTCAATAAAACCTTTCTCTATTAATTTAAAACTGGCAAAACTATACTAGACAATGGACTAATTAAAGATAGGCTAAAAACAGCAATTAAAAAAACGAAAACGAAGTACAGGAGTAGAAAAATGAATAAGCTAGGTGCTAAATATACCGAGTTTTCACAGTTAAACTGCGCCCTGTCACGCTAATACTAACCGAAAACACTGTAATTAAAACACTTAAGTATGTTGTTGAGAATTATTAAATTGGACAGATAATACACTGGTGAAACACCATTTTTATATTGATGGTAAGCGAGTGAATAATGGAGGAATTAGATGACTATCTTTATGAGGCTAGGTATTATAGGATAATGGCTGGAAATAGAATAGAATGGAAATAGAAATTTAGCATCATCAGCAGATGATTAAGACTAATGTAAAAAGTGGAAAACTAAGTAATCTATGAACTAAGAAATTTAAACTAGCCATTTTATGTTCAACACTATGATATGATTCATTAGGAATATATCTGCGTGTAGTGGTATGTTTCCTATAGATATCAAATTCCAGGCAATTATTAATATTTCTAATAACTAATACATCTAGAAATGGTAACCTGTCGTTGTTCTCAATTTCATGTGTAAATTTAATGGAAGGAAAACGATTATTTAACTTAGAAATAAAATTATCTATGGTGTCTGAATGTGAGTCAAAAACAACAAAAATATCATCCACATACCTAAACCATACTCTCGGAAAATACTCAAACTGATTCTTAGCCTCCACTTCAAACCTGCTCATGAATAAATTAGCCAAAAATGGAGACAATGGATTGTTGTACCTTCCCGCTGTTCAAAACAGTTTTTATTAAATTGAAAAAAATTTTGTTTCATACAGAACGATGTAAGCTCAATATATTCAATCACAGTTTTGTTGTCGAGACCATTTGCGTTCAGTAATTCCTTCAAGTAGCCTAAAGTATGTGGAATTGGATTATTATTTAGATTAGTCTTAATCATCTGCTGATAATGCTAACATATATTTTGATTTTTACCGAATAAAACTCTACCTAGATAGTTACCTCTGTATCTTACACCCCCATCAATCTCATTTTTGGCGGATTTTTTGGGATACCTTTACCCGAAATGTTCCAAAATTGGCACTTACGTATCCAGGACCGTCTTAGGCCCTATATCAACCCATAACTGAGGGTTAGGCTCGTTGGAAAATGGCCGCTATAGGTGAACCAGTGATTTATGTGTACGGTATAGCGGTCGTTACGATATACGTCAGTCGCCTTTGTATATAATTTTGATCGAGCCGAAGAAAAATGGTGATTTATTTTGGGGGCAACATTAATTTTACACCACCACCGGCCAGTCCATGCCATTAAAGGAACAAAAAAAAAACGAAAAATAATAAAAAAAGCGATTACTTTTTGGCTTGGAATCGATTTTGATACGTGGATGGGTCAGGCTTTATACAGGGTATGTCTTAAACAAGTTCAAATATTATTAGATTTAACATTTAGTTTTGTTCTTTGTAAACTTTGACTTTGAGAAGAATTTGCCTCGATATATCCTAAGTCTAGATGGATAAATCAATGCCATAAGTTTAGCATTAAAAAATATGTCTCCAACATCACGACATGCCATTTACAAACCTTCTTTATTGCACTTATGAAACGTTCAATAGGTTTGTCTTTCTCGAGGACCTTACTTTGCGCATGCGCATTAACAGTTGCACGTATTTCCAAAATAAGCACAATTTTGTACGGTTTTAGAAAGTACAAATTATACATTGTTGTGGTAACCAACTTTTTTAGATAGAGTAGAAGCACTGCGTGTGCAACAAAAAAAGAAGATAAATGGAAATCGTTGATATGTTTGCGACAGTTTCCATAATGATTTACTTATTTACGTAAGTATATATATATATATATATATATATATATATATATATATATATATATATATATATATATATATATATATATATATATATATATATATATATATATATATATGATCTAGGATCCTAAGTCAATTAAGGATATTGACTTAGGATCCTAGATCAAACAAGGTGAAAAAATAACACACATTTATTTTTTTTAATTATTTATATTCTTAATAAATTTGAAAATATTTACATTTTATTCTGAAAAAAATCAAATTTCCTGGAGTTATCTCACAATAGCAATACAATAAAAAGAAATTATTAAGTCTTTAGGTAGAGTAAACCTGAAACGCTACTAAGATATACGTCAAAATATGGCTGACTATCTGAAACACAAGAATAGAAATACCGTATGATCGAATAAAAACGGCGTCAGCGATGGCTATGAAATGAAGATCGCTGTCATTTTATATGTAAAATTATATGGGAAATGTCATCGATCGTCATTGCCAAGCCAACTGGACGCCATTTTTTTTCGATCATACGGTATGACAGTTTACTTCAAATATCTATCTCTCTGTTAATATTACCATTAAAATGTGCAATATTTTAAAAGTTACTAAGCTATAGAGACGAATTTGTCAATGAGCTGATTATAATTTATTTTAAAACTATTAAATGACTTTTAAAAAACTTACAGGGGAAATTATTCCAAGGCCCAAATCGAAAAAATTGTAGATGTTGAATGGTGTTTGTAACTTAAGTTTAAGAATAAATAATTGTATTTGTTGTATCTCCTTTTCCGATTTGCTTCTTAAAATCGATTCCATCAATATTGTTTCTGAATTTTTTATCTGGAAACAATGACAATTTTGATCATTAAATGTCAAAATCTACACAGTCTCTTTATTCAGAATCCGGAGTTTAACCATAGTTTTTTTATTGCAAATAATTAATCTTCATACAATTTTATGACACCCGTATTTTTTTATTTTACTTCAATTTCATCCCATTTTTTTAAAAAAAATAATCAATATTAAGAATTTCAGATTTACACTTTTGCAATTTCTGACGTGACCTATCAAAGGTAAATAAAAACCATTTTTCTAAATGTATTTTAAAGTAGATATAAAATTAATTGTAAAATAAAACTCAAGGAACTTACGTTAAAATGATCTTCTCAGCAAAATCTCGTACTTTTGCTGACATATTGTTGTCTTGCCGCTTCAAACCAGGCTCTTCGACGGCTTTCATCCAAAGGAACAGATATAAAAACTTTTTCTGAAGAGCCTTCAGAGTTATTTAGATAGCCCTTCACAAAACAAACTTTAATACCCTTCATTACAAAAATAATAAAGAGGGTACAATAAAACAAAATTGAAAACTCAAAGTATTTAACGCCAAACGCAAAATCAACAAAATACAAATCTAACCTCGAACGCCTCGAACATCCGAACATCCGAACAACTTTGGTAGTGTTTAATGCTTCGATAAAAATGGCAGTAACCTGTTAATTATAAAAATTTAAGTTTTAATTTCTAGTAGTAAAAAATATAAAAGTAAATTTAATATTAGATCTGAATAAAAATAGAAAAATCTAACGTGATTTTAAGATATATGGTGTAAATACGGTAGTAGAGACCTAGACACGCCATAATATTATTCTTCAGAGGCTGGAGTGCCCTCTGTCAACTATTCAGTCAAATGCTGATAGGTGACGTCACAATTTTCTACGCGTCATTTCAAACCAGTGAAATTTGTATTGAATTTGATTTATTATTTATTCCTTAATTGTAACTTCGTTGCATTTCTTTTTGTATTGAGGGAGTACTTTTTAATCACATCAATTGAATTTCATATTAAAAATAACAAAATTTTACTTTGGTTAAACACCGGATTAAAATATTTTATGTGACTTACTGTATTTTTTAAAGTCTGTACATCCTTCAACACCCAAAACAACCCACAAGAATGGTAAATCGCATAACCAAGATTCGCCAAAAACATCACCGTGGCTTCTAGATTCCTAGTACCATACACCGTGTAAATAGCCACAGAATACGAACTGGCACTGAGCAGTACCAGTTCCAGAATGAGCTGAAAGAAAAATTGAGCTCCTCCATAGCTAAAGTAGAGATGGACGTTTTGGTAGAGCTCTTCGTGGATTGTTCTTAGGTAATCTAGCAATTCTGGGCGGTCTAGGTCCATGAGAGAAATTGGGATGTTGTGTTGGCCTGAGCAGATCTTGTACGAACCCAGGAAACCAAGAAATTGGCCTTTGTTATTGGTGAAATCGAATTTTTGGATTGGATGAATGGGTTGGTATTGGAGATAGTTCTTTAATATTGTTTCAAAGCATATGAAGTTGGATATATAGTAATTGATAACTGAAAAAAAAGAATATTGCGTTTCCATCCACTTGAAGAAAATCTACAGAATTGTTTTATTAGGAGTAAAAATTCCAATTTTTGTGGCAACGTCATAAATAATTTTTTAAACAATTTCAAACGTTCTAAATAATATAAAAATAGTTATTTTTTATACAAGACGATTAAATGCAATTTTATCGTCGTGTATAAAAGAATACTTTTTCTATAGCGAGTTACGTTTTAAAAAATATTCAGAAATTATTATTTCAAGGAATTTATTACGAGTAGAAAAAATATTGTGCTGGGTTGGGGTTGGTTTCTATATAATTTGATAAATAAATAAAGCTGTATCTTTAGTTGTCAGTTTTGAGTCATTATTTTTTAATTCTCTTTCGTGTCGATTGCTGATTGAATGGGCTCTTTCACTATATTTTGGAAGTAGCATAATTGAATAAAGCAATTAATTCTAGAATTTTCTGCTATCTCACTTTCGAAAAATTTGAAGTCGTTCTTAAGAAAATAAATAAAAACAAAAAAGCCCAGAATAAAAATCCGCACTTTATTTTTAATACTTCACACCTGGCATGTTGAAAAGCGGCAACACGGCCGGGCCACCATGCTGACCCACCACCACCTCCACACAAGGCCATTCAACCTTTTCCAATATGGCGGAGATAGAAGTGCTTTATTTGGCGCGTATTTTAAAACCTGTTTTATTTCCAAATTGACATTTTTCACACAAATGTCGGGTTAGATTACGTAATATTTCAGTAATTTTTTAATATACAGGGAGTCTAAAGATCTCCACATAAATATGGATTTTTTTGTATTATTACTTTTATGAAAACATCAGTTAGTTACTTTTTATAAAAAGGTCTGTTTTCTCAGAAAATAGGTAGGTAGTGTACTAGTGTGTAAATATTCAAACTTGAGGTAGCATATATAGGGTGTTCAAAATCATCGGAAAAAGAAATAACCAGAAATATATGACAGAAAATAGCAATATAAACTAAATATTCAATTGCAAACACTTACCTACCATAGTTTAGAATTTACTGCACGTTTGATAAATATATATTATTATGGACAGTATAGGAAGTTACTTGTCTTAGTAAAAGCCTTGGTAAATGCTCTTGGAATTATAAACTACACTGGCTTGGGTAAAAAAATATGGAATATTTTTTCTATGTTTAGCAGCATTACACAACCTTTTTATAACGTCATTCCTTTTTTTGCATAGTTCTTCAATAAAATATTAGATATTCCGAACAAGATTTTATATAAAAAAAAACTAAATACCTTTTTGGTTGTTCGTAAGTAAAACGTACGCTTAGCTTAGTTTTCTTTACTCTTTCTCTTTACATAGAGCATTGTCTCTGTGGTAAAGACGTCATTCCTTTTTTTTGCATAGTTCTTCACTAAAATATTGGATATTCTGAACAAGATGGAATTAATAATAAATTCTGACGTATGTGAGGGGCAATTGTGACTTAAAAAAAGACTTACATCCAGGCAGGCCATTTATATTTTCAAATGTGAATGTTGTCAATATCTTTCTGTGATCTTTTTGATGTAAAATGCTTGATTATTCTTCCAATATTTTACTTATAGTGAGGTAAGTGTAAGCAGTAGCCATAACTACATCCTCACTAGGGTAACAGAGGCTTTGGCCTTTGGCCTATTTGAGGCATATTTATTGCACTTCTTACCCGAGAACTACTAGTAGGAGTGAAATTATCTCTTTTAATAGCTGTCAACCATTTTTTTGCGAAGCTCGTCATTTTTGGGGAATATAAAAGCAGAAACCTTGGGACCCCCTCTGTAATTCTCGTGACAATTTGGAACAGAGCATGTAAAAGGTATACTACAATAAAATGTTAATACCTATCTTTTGATTATTGTAAGTAACCATTATAAAGTACTATGCAGACTGGCGGTGAAGGCTTTTTACTCATTTAGGTGTAATATCTTGATAAATACTTCGAGTTCTTACCTTAAAATAATTAATAATAGAGGAGTACGACAAGCACAAAAGTTTGAAGTTCCCTATGTGAAATGTCTGGTTTGGATTTTTATTACACTGTTATTTTATCACAATTTTCTGATCACACCATTCTGAACACTAAGAACTAAACAAACGTGTTGCAGAAGAACACAAACTGGAGATAATTAATTATTTCTGATATGCAATCGGAACGAGAAACCACTACCAACTTTTCAGGTTAAAGGTAAACAATTTAATAATGCGCTGCCTCCTTGCCAGTTGTTGGCTGGCGCACGAGCACGGTTCTGCAATGTGATTGGGCGTATTTTTCATACGTCATCAATTGGCGCTTTAAAATTATTTCAAATTAAAGCAATTTTAAGGACCTATAAAAAAATTATTCTGTGTCATGGAACTATTTTTTTTGGATAAATATAGGTACTGAAAATAGTCTTCTATTTCAGATTACCTAATAAAACTAAAAAGTAATAATTTAAAACAATTCAAACATAACCTAAAATAAAATCTCGCCGGCCGGCCCAGGTTGTAAATACCCGCACATGCCCATTTAAGCAATTTTTAAACGTTATTTAGAAATAGCGCTTGGTGTAATTGATCCGCAAATTACGTCAGGCGGTAACGTTATTAGCGGGTGTTGCGTTAAAAATTGACTCGCGCATATCGTAACCATGATAAGGTACGGTTAAATACTGTATGACGCTATTCGGTTTTCCGATATCTCTCTAATCACTGTGCCGGTCAGGCGCTGTGCACAATTTTAGAGGCCATAAGTGGGCGTGCTGTGTGCGCAAACTAGTAACCTAACTAGTGCCCGATTCCGAAAATTGGAACCACGAAAAACAATAAAGAAAAAACAAAGTTTATAATCTGTCTAATCTGTTTGTCAGTATTCATGGGACATAATTTTTTCATTTGTAGATTTTCTTCGAAAATTCTTTTAAAGAAATGAAACTAATTATTTTAACAAATTTATATTTACTTGCAGTCCATAGGTCACTATTCGTAAAAGGCCAAACTTGCAACACACAACTGACCAAAATATTCCAAATCATTACCCTATCATCACTGTTTCTTCCCAAGTACCATATTATCAAAAACTGCCCGCATATAGCACTGATATTCATGATTTTAACCTTGTTCATAATATTTTTGGATATTTTTCTCGAGCTCTGGCAAAATAAATGATCTCTATCCAATGAAACAAGCTTATTCAAGAAATCTTCACCTGCATTGAGCTGTACTAGAGCTATAATGATGAGAATTCTGTAAGTACTGTACAGCAAATTGGACAGAGTATTCAAAAATTCTGGCAGGTTGCTGCTGTCCAATTTTATGTTTTTGAAACTGTAGATCGAAACTACTGTTAAAATTATTACGATAAATATACTGTAAATGATCCAGAACGTCGATTTTTCGTATAAGCATTTCTTGTTTTTATGTTTCCATTGGTAAGGAAACAGTCCACATAATTTTGCTATAAACGCTGATATAAATAATATTTTACAAGTGCATAGTTTCTTTTCAAAGCTTTTTACCTTGTTATTACTATATATCTTCATATTTTTTACGAATTTTACCTAAAAAAACAATTATTTTAACGTAAAAAACACTACAAAACACACTTTTATATACCTACACGTACACTATCCAGCCCAGTCATTTTATCAAGACACCTTTAACTCTGTTGTTCAATTGTTTCTTTTGAATAATAAATAGGATTTTGTTTGCTATTCGATTGTTTCGTTCGTCTTTTGTTTGCGAATGTCGTTAAAACGAATGGCAGATGATTGGTCGGCAGGTTTAAGTATACTGGCATTTGATGTGTTGGACTTGGTGAGTTTAAAAGTTGTAATAAAGCCAGAATGAAATGTATTGGACGTCATCGGTGTATTGTTTGTTTAATTTATTATTGATAGAACGGTAATTTTTATTCGTTTTGTGGGTAAAAATAGAAAAATTAAATTAAATTTTATGTAGATGCGCACAGGGGGAAAACCCCTTATTGATATACTATGTATATCCAACCCTTGAAAACGAAAAATAAACAAAACCTGGTACTTCCAAAGCGCGTAGTACCGCCCAGTACCGCCGAAAATACCGCGGTACCACGCCTCAACGGTACCTGTACCATCTGGACTGGCCAACGACAAGTCAAGAGGTCGCTTGTAACGTGGGTGAGAACCTCTGTGGGTGGAGCTTGACTTAACCAATGGGGACGAAAATGGTACCGATACAATGTTGCTCATGAAAAATTACAGTGGTTATTAATACACGGTGAGAAAAAGGTTGTGTTTAAGTATTTTTAAAGACGCTCATATATCTGAAAAAAAAATATCCGTAGCCTATAAGAATTTAAGATTAATTTTGTTATAGCTGCGTGAAAAAAAAAATAAAAATTAATTCCTCGGGACAATTTCTGGATAAGATACAGGGTGTTTCAAAACAAATGCGAAAAACTTCAGGGGGTGATTCCTTGTTCAAAATAAAGGGTAGTTTGCTTCATAAACGTTGTGTCAAAAGTCAACCATTAGGGAGATATTGTGGTACAAAGATGGCGGAAAAATAATGTTTTTATTTTTTATCTTGAAAACGAAAAGAGATAGACTAATAAAATTTTATGGAAGCATTACTGTTATGAAAACACACTTTCTGGTAATTTTTTCACTTTTTTAAAATGAGTGGAAGGGGTTGAAATAAACTACCCCTATCATTCTTGTTAACGAAATTTAAAGAAAAATCTTATCAAATACATGCAAAAAATTAATTTGGATAGTTTAGTTTGTTTAGAAACTTTTTTATCTTGTATTTTTTTGATAAAACTCACCGATTTGAAATTAAAAAATAAAATGTAAAGCATTACATGTCAGGACAAAAAACATTTTCTGATAAAGAATCTAGTGGGCTGCTGTAATTTTTTAGGAAAAAATCTAGTCGGCCGCTGTTACTTTTTAGGATGTTCCTAATATTATTTTATTTGACATTACTCTACTGCAATACGTTATTATCTAGATGATTATTATTATCGTTATTATCACTAGATTCTTAATCTAAAAATGTTTTTTGTCCTGACATGTAATGCTTTACATTTTATTTTTTAATTTCCAATCGGTGAGTTTTATCAAAAAACACAAGAGGTAAAAAGTTTCTAAACAAACTAAACTATCCAAATTAAAGCATTTGCATGTGTTTGATAAGATTTTTCTTTAAATTTCGTTAACAAGAATGATAGGGGTAGTTTATTTCAACCCCTTCCACTCATTTTAAAAAAGTAAAAAAATTAACTGAAAGTGTGTTTTCATAACAGTAATGCTTCCATAACATTTCATTAGTCTTTCTCTTTTCGTTTTTAAGATAAAAAATAAAAACATTATTTTTCCGCCATCTCTGTACCGCGATATCTCCCTAATGGTTGACTTTTGACCCAACGTTTATGAAGCAAACTACCCTTTATTTTGAACAAGGAATCACCCCCTGAAGTTTTTCGCATTTGTTTTGAAACACCCTGTATATGTGGCCAATATCTGTTTGACAGTTTCTCATTGTATATGTTAAAACACGACAACTCGTTATTTGGATTGGATTAACTTGTTCTACCAGCGTCTCTTTCTCGAGAAAAAATAATTTATAAGCTTAACAAGCTTATAAAGCTTAACTTTCTTGTTCATTTTGGTTAAATCTTTGAGGTATTTTTAATCTTGAGGCTTTGAGGTTTCTATGAACATTCAAATTTTTTCAGTTAAAAAATCTTTTTCCATTAAAAGTACCATAACTTTGAAACGGTTTACGATATAAAATTTTACACCGCGGAAAAAATCTATCTGCCTTCCAGGAATATTTTTTCTCGGTTATTAGGTTCATTTCAAACCATAAATTCCATAGGTTAGTTTTTTGGCTCACCCTACCTACTGAACATTCCATATTTTGGTGAATTGGTGTTTTATTTTGCAAACTTCAAGAACCTAATCGATTGGCCGCTCTCTGCCCGATGATCTTTTTGTTCCTGTATTTCTCGAAAATATCCCGCGTGTTAAGAGGGCCCTTCGTCATGTCCGCGAGCACCCCGAGGCCCCGTGGCTCGCGGGGTCCCTCATTATCGTAATAACAGTGCGGGGTTAGCCCCGCATGCCTATTACCCCGTCCCTGTCCCCCCTGAGCGCAGTCCAACCACCGACACAGCCTGATTTATTCTCTGGTCAGACGGGAGAACAGTTTGGAACGGGCTGTATAGGTATATTCTACGCTACTTGGGAATTAACATAGATGGATTTATTTCAGGTTGTAGTCGATTTAAACGTGTTTTACGTGGATGTGGGATAAAAAAGTCCAAATAAAATAGTATATAGAAAATAATTTTTGTCTATATAGTAAATGAAAAAAAAAATAACTAACGTTTTTTTCATATTACATTCCTTGGTAATTTACTCTTAATTACGCAAAAATTACAAAAAGTTCGTTTAGATGGAGAATATCTTAACCATATCTAAGAATCGCTGATAACATAGTCCTGATTGCCAATGGTCCCGAAGAAAAACAAGCACAAATTAATGAACTAAGTACCTACAGGCAGCAATAAAGTGGTTCTTATAACGAATTTAGCAAAAACTAAAGTAATGTACAAGGAACTAGTGGAAAGATTCTAAAAAATAACACAACCCTGGAAATAGAAGAATATATATATATATATATATATATTATATATATATATATATACCGTATATATATATATATATATATATATATATATATATATATATATATATATATATATATATATATATATATATATATATATATATATATATATATATATATATATATATATATATATATATATATATATATATACAGTACATCTGTCCGTTCTGTAGCTACGGGGTAACCGTGAGAGGGGAAACGATATTCTCTCGATGTTTTTCGTAAAAAATTAGACGACGCGTCCCATCAATAAAAATTCGACAAATTTGCAATTAGCCAATAAAATGAGTGGGCGGAGCGATTTGCGGTGACGTACTCGTCAAGTCGACGTATAAAATATATTGTTGTTTATTTAAATGTTTTTTGTCCGCATTCCTTTCGTAGGCAGAGATCCAGCAGACGTACAGTAGGGTGTCATGGCTGTGTTAAAAACACTAATTTTTAATCAAGGAGTCTTGAATAAATAGATTTGATCGTCTAATGTTTTTAGTGTCTTGTCTTGGTCGGTTAAAAGATGGCCAAATCCTATTTTTAATCATATCTCAATTTTTTCAAATGGGCCGAGGGTGACTCATTAGCATATTTGGAAAAAGCATTTTTTTACAAATAATTTGGTACCACACACGTGGAAGTTCGAGACAAATTGTCGTTATATAAATCGAATGTTGGGGGGCTCTCTTTTTATATGTAACATTACATGCGGGGAATGTCATCGATGTTCATTTCTAAGCCAACTGGACGTCGTTTTTTTCGATTCATGCGGTATATACCTATATACACGACCATTTTGAGTCTGTTTTCTCCAATCCGACACGCCATTACCCCTATTCTTCCCTCCTCTCCCTTTTAACCTAAATCTTATTTCGTATACCGTAACATTATCCTTCACGATTTTTTCTTTTTTCCTTTAAATACAACGTTCCTTTTTTTCGTTCGCATCTTCTGTCTCTCTCCCTGTATCCCTTGGGCTTGTGTCGCGGACTGTACGCGACTTCGTGGCGCGCGACGAAGGCGACGTTTCGTGCTCTGGCAGGGACGCCCGGCATCAGGGAGTGTACAATCGCGTGCGGCTTTGACGGTTTTTGCCCTATGGGTCGCGCGAGTTGTCGATTTCGTGTCGTTTGTTTTTTTTTCTTCGTTTTTGTCGTTTTTACCAGGCGTTTTTCGTGCATTTCTCGGAATCTGACCGGTTGGTCTCTCTCTGTGTGAGAAAATAGAATTCTTTGACGATGGATTCAAAAAGAAATTGTGCGCACAACACTATGTGCGCATAATTATGCAGATGATCAGGACTAAGAGTCTTGATGATCTGCTGATGATGCTAACATGGTTAGCGAAACGCGCGTCCAGTGTAAAAGGAAAAGTGTTTTTTGGTGTATTGTGGTGATTTGGTGTTTTATTTTGGCTCTTTTATAGAAATGTATATCTACAAGTCATCGTAAAATAAATCGAAGAACTACTTATTCGTTTTTCTTAATAGAATAATAAATACATATTTTTAAGTATTATTTATTAAACTATTGTAGGTAAATTAATAAAACTAGATTGCTATAAATTTTAAATAAAGTCCATAAACTAATTTCGATTTTAAATATAGCTACTGTCACTAGACTTTTGCCACAGTGGTCGCCAACCTCAACGGAGACGGCACCTAGGAGGAGGAACTGTCACTAGAAACTTGCCATGACGACATTAGCCCTCTTGGTTGCCATTTTATTGAAAAATTGCTCTTTATTCAAAATCTGAGCTAGATAGGTATAGGAAACCCTAACATAGTTTGAAAGAGCATTAGATTCTGCTTCGATTTATTTAAAAAAATACAGGGTGTTGTATTTGAAATAACGAAGTTTTTATGTAAAGTAAATATTTAAAGACCATCAATTTTGATACCCCTGTATACATTAAAGGAAGCAATCAAATTTTTCAGTAGAGTTTATTTCTCTCTTCAGCACAAGAATTAATTCT